GGCAGCTTTGAGATGCGCAAAAATATATTTTTTATTTAAATTGAATATACTCTTTTATGGTTTCGCCTGCGATTGTTTATTTTTACGATAAATATCATGAATTTCGCATGGCTTTGTGTTGGTTTCGCTGCTTCGTATTATCGATTTCAATGCTATTCCAGTTTAATGGCAAATTGGTTTGGCCAAAAGCAAACTTTTGCAGAAATAATGCACAGCGAAGACGAAAATACATATAATTAAAAATAATTGGATGACATTGAAGCTGACCGCTCAGCTTATAGATCGAGAGCGAGTTGCCAGTCAGTTCCTGTTGTCTTTTAAAGATTTAATTACCAAACTATTTCCGACTGACACGCGCTGCAGGCGGCCGGAAATTCGAGCGTCAACTACAAAATGCCATTGAAATAAACAACATCGCTGAAAACTAAAACGAAACTACTTCAAAGTGGCGCGCACATTGTTTGGATTCACTTTTTGCAGACAAACCACCAGCCCACTGACCCACCAAGCCCCCAAACTCGGGCTCACTTTTCCACACGCTTTGCGGCGGAAGAGTTGCCATTTTCATTTTCTTTTGCGGCGCGCCATATTATTTTTCCCCTTCTTCTTCTTTTACTATTTTTATATTATTATTTATTTGATTTTATTTTTTATTTTCTGGCCCAGCTCATAATTTGCATGGCATGAAACTTGACTTTTGTTGCCCGGCCGAGGTGCCGTCGAGGGGTGGGCAAGCGTGGAAAATATGTTGCAGCGGCAGTGTTGAAAATATAATAGAAAAATAAGGTGCCACACAATATGGCCGAGAGCTTTACAGTTGGTTAAGTAGCAAAAGCGCGCGAAAGGCGAAAGGACGCAAAATGCGACCAAGCCAGCCGGATAAAGTGGCACCAAAAGCAGCCAACGGCATCAAGCTGCAGCCGAGGCCGGCGCCCGAGCATGGCGTGAAAATTGTTGTGACAAGAAAATTATAAACCGGAAAATGTTTTATGTTGTGGCCATGGCGATTTTTACTCCTTAAGAATGCCCCTTTCTGTTATTTTTTTCCCCTTTTTTTTCTTGTTCTTTTTTCTTTTTTTTGTAGCTCTGTCTCTGTGTGTGCCATTTTCAGCTGGCTTATTGTGGCCATATTAAATTGAGAGGAAATTAACAGTGAAATGATGCCAACTTACGAAAGGGTCAACTTTTTCGACGATAATTTGCCAAAAGGGATAAACTAACGCTGGACAATTTAGGAAAAAGGATAAGCTCTAGAGTTGAAAAATTTTAAAAAAAATTGTACAAATAAGCTGCTGCGGATAATGCCAAATAATGTTCAAAATATGATTTAAGCAACTAAGTTACTTTCTTTTATGTCTCGTAAATAGAACTTTTATATGATTTTGGTTAAATTTAATTAAAATACATTTTATAAATTCATTTACTTAGGCCTAACGGCACAGGATAACCAGGGACCCTCTTTCTTGTACACTCGGATAACTGCCATTGACCCACTTTGCGACATGGTACATTTTATTGAAAAGAACTATTCTTGGGCTTCTTTTATTAAAGAGCTCCTCTTGCAGCCCCTTCCCCTTCCGGAGCCATCAAATGCCATTAGAAAGTCTACAATGCGACAACTTAACTATAAATTAGTGCCGTGGCCACATGGCAAAGTTGTCGCACCCACATAGCCACACAGGTACATATACTGTATGCTACCCGTAGGCCTCGTGTCCTTAAACTGGCTGGCGTTCATTATATGCTGGTTACTTGCACGTTTAAGTTCGTTATACATTTAAGCCCCCGACATGCAGCATGCCACCCGTTTTGTGTGTCAAGCACACACACACTCTCCTACTCTGGGGAAAAAGAGGTGAAAATGAGTACAAACACACTCAGCTACAATTACAACACTCAAAGCCGGGAAACATTATATGAAAAATATAAAAAAAAGGAGAGGAAGAAAACTGTGCACGTCATGCGACTGGGCAGAAAAACTCGCTCAGCGAACCAAATTGCTCGGCAACTTTACTGCATAGTTAATTAATAGGATAACACAATTAATTTGTGGGCAATGAATGTCTGAGCTTTATTTGCCAGCTGCCTAGCAGGCAAAAACTTTTACCCCAAGGGGCATACTGACGACTCCTCCATATACAGGCACATATGTATATATATATATATATATATTTACATCTCTATATATAAAACAGTTTGTCCTGACTGACTGACTGACTGATTGGTGATCAACGCACAGCCCAAACCGTAAGAGCTTGGAAGCTGAAATTTTCACTGTAGTTACCTTATGTGATGTAGGTGCACGTTAAGACGGGGATTTGGGAAATTCCACCCGCAAGTGTGGAAAAATCGCGAAAAACGTTTGTATGTAACTTTTTTGTTCACCGTCTGATCGGGCTCGAACTTATTTTCAAAGATCTTTGTTTAAATTCATTTGAGCGGTGTTTCACACTTTTAGAAAAATCCATTCCTCCTTGGTGAATATTGAGGTCAAAGATTTGGTGGGTGACGTTTCGCGCTCAAATTCATTTTCGGAGATCTATAAGAAAATTCATTTGAGACGTGTTTCACACTTTTCGTAGAATTCAAACTTCTTCGGGGCGAATGCGATTTAAAGATTTTTTTTTAAGTTGTGTCCGATTTGCTTCAAACTTATTTTCAAAGCTCTACAAAAGAACTTTACAAATACGTATTTCAGCGATTTGGGAAATTCCACCCGCAACAGTGGTAAATTGGCGGAAAACGGTTGTATGAAAGTTTTTTATTTACCATCCGATCGGCACACACTTTTTGAAAAATGCATCCCTCCTTGGGGGTCGAAGATTTGGTGGATGACTTTTGTGCTCAAATTTATTTCCAAAGATCTATAAGAAAAATCATTCGAGACGTGTTTCACATTTTTCGCAAAATCTAAACTCCTTCGGTGGAAAATGCATTTCAAAGATTTTTTTGGTGAATTTTAAGTTTTTTCCGATTTGCATAAAGGTTGTTTGATTCCCGTCCGATCAGTTTCAAAATCATTTTCAAAGCTTTTCGAAAACATTGATTTTATAACATACGTGCCACGGGCAAGGCCGGGTTATACCCGCTAGTATATACATAGATATTTGCCTGTCCTTTCGCTTTTGATTCGCAATTTGAGCTCGCATCTGTTACAGGCTCGAAGCTGACTCATTTTTTGGTCAGTTTATATGGGTAACCATATCAGAATTAGCTTATCACACGCTCCAGCTGTGGCCTGGGCCAAGTAATCGCCAATGGTCTTAGGGTTTTACCGAGTATGCGTTCAGCCTAAGTAAAGTTTTATAATCATCTGAGTGGTGCTTAGGTTTGATGCTTCATCTAAAATGTCCGATTATAGAGACAAACCAATCTTAGATTAAGATTTTTGAATAGAAGCGGATAAATTTAAATAATTTCATAGCTTTCTGATATAAACAATTTTCTGCAGCCCATGCAAGACTCAATATGATTTCTAATTAGTTCCATTATGATCAGATGCGCATCGGAACAACATTAACGCCAAGCCAATATGGCAAAGTTTTGATTGAAACCGATAATATCATTGTCAGTGTTGAATAATTGTCAAGCTGAGCGGATATTCATATTGAGACATTAGGTTAAGGAAATGTTAACTAAAAACTGACCAAAAAGAGCCACGACTCAGTGCATATGACGTAAAAATATAGTTTTAAGGAACAGGGAAATGCTTTTATTAAAGCCGTACTTAGAACAAACAGTCAGCAAAAAAAAGGAAGACAATTTAAAGGGAAGCAGAAGAGGGACTACTTGAAGGACCTCAGCCTCAACTGTGGCAGTGGCTCAATTAAGGACGCCGCTCGTGGGGACAGGCGTGAAAAGTACAAAAACAAAAGCGCACCACAACAACAACAACAACAGCAACAACGACAACAAGGAGCTACTCACAAACATCAGTTTTAACTATTGTTTGCACACTCCGCGCGGCATAGAGGCGCCGGGAGGCGGGGTAGGGAGTGCTGCCCCAACTTTAAAGTTCCACACTCCACGCTTTGGGGTTTTGTTAAAATAACAAAAGCGGCCGCCGCAGCCGTTAACCAAACAAGTGGCAAATGTCTGGCGCCTGAAAAGGCGGCTAACGAAAATTTTCAAAAACGTAATTTTTTATGCTGTCACAAATTTGACGATGCTGATGATGACGACGATGTTGCCGTTGATGCTGCTAATGATGATCATAATAATGCTGATAATGACGTTCCAGGCAATATTTTGCCAGCATTAAACAAGTACTATATATAAAACACTCGACTTTATGTTGTCATTTTGCATAGTTGTTGCCGTCGTTGTAAGTTGTTTGTGTTGCCAACATTGTTGTTACAAAAAAACACACACACAGATGAAGAGAGTGAGAGAGACAGAGAGAGAGAGAGAGAGAGACAAACAACAACAAACTGGGCAACTTAATTTTTCCGCATAGCCCAGGACATTGTCAAGGTATTGTCGTCCTTTGTTTTACTCTGTTTCTTTTACATGTTGTTGTTATTGTTGTTTCTCTGGACGTCAAGCTGAGCGAAAAAAGTGCTAAAAATGCCAAAACAAGAACACAAGGCTTTGACGCTTTTGTTTTTATGCGTTGCTTTTCCAATTTTTTTGTTAGGGCTAATTTTTCGCGTTTCAGAGGCGAAAATTCAATATTGTTCGGTGAAAGGGACATCAAAAAAGAAAATATGCTTTGATTTTGTGTTTGAAACAACGTCACAGAGAGCTTAGAAACATGGGGTAAACAGCAAAAGAAAGAGAACCTGAAACTGATCAATAGATGGAACATTGTTGCGTGCACAAAAAACTTAAATGACGCGTTTCTAAAGGGTTTGAAAGGGTTTTAAGGGTGTGTGTCAAACAAACTTTAATATTATTTGTAAATAGTCCCTTTCAATTTATTTTAATACTAAATAATATATATATATAAAAAACTAAAAAATATATACATAATATATAGTTATGAGAGATATAATGTTTACCTTGTAGTCATCCATGTCTAAAAGTTGCGTTGCCTAAAACCACTCGAATGTGATATTAAATTGTGTTATTTAGAATTATTTTAAGCACTTTTCACTGGATTCAATAATTATGATTCTAAACACGATTTATGCCGTTCAATTCTTAAGCTTTTGTTACATTCTTTTTTTTTCATATTTGATCTCTGGTAGTCTCTCTATAATTGGGCAAGGACTTGGACAAGCACAGCACCACATTCGCAGGCACAAAGACAAGCGCAGAGGCAAAAAGCTGCCGCCGGAGCCTAAGTTAAGGCGCAAGCTTTCAAAAGCTCTCTCAAGTCTAGGCTCAAAAGCGCACGGCAGTGAGAGACAGCGAGAGAGTATAACAGACAGAGATAGAGAGAGACACATAGCCACTAAGCTTCAACTATATGTAGATAAAAGCACAGATTATATACCAAAAAACTTAAAAAAAAAACAGAAAGTAAAAGCATAAAAGCACAAACGACAAAAGCGCGACAAGATCAGTTTTTTTTGTTTTTGGGACTTGTCCTCAAATGCATTGGGACCTGGGCAGGGTTGGATGTCTCATTGTTGGAAGGGGGGGGTGGTGGAGTACTTAAGCCATGATGGATTAAAGTTAAGAATATAAAAGCTTACAAGCTACATTCCATACATATACGCGGTAGAAGCGGAGTGGTAATGGGTACATGTGGGCATAGGTTTTGGCATACTGGTTGGGCATAATACTGACCTTGATACTGTCATAGCAAGCGGTAACCTTGCCGTTCTGCACCTCCACATTGGCCGGCGGATGGGCGAACTTGCACTCCGTGTCCTGGCGCGAGCATTTGTTGCGCTGAAACTCGCGGCACACCTCCAGCTGCAACCAGCGCGAGTCCTTGCCATTCAGCAGGCTGTTCATATTAACAACGTTGGCCATCGCAGCGGCAACTCTTCAATATTATAATATATATATATATAGGTATTATAGATATATATATATATTATAGAAATATATAGTTTTTAGCTGGGGAGACTATATAGATAGCTTGGCTGGCGACTAGAAATGTTGCGCGTTTTACGTTTATGACGTTGGCTTTGTTTGGGTTTTTTTTGTTTTGTGTTTTTAGATAAACAGCTCTTAGCACAGATCAGCACCTATATATATAAGGTGTACGTACATATATATATATATATATTTAGCATAGATGGTAGCGTTTTGTATGAGTTCTTGTTGTAGCGTTTACACTTGCTTTTTTTTATCTGTTTACAAAGCTTGGGGATGGCTGATAGCTTGGGGTACTTGAAGCCTATCTTGGCTAAGAGTTGTATAGTTTAATTTTGATTCGAACAAACGTTTATATATAAATATGCTTTAACTTGATTATTGTTTGTAAGTTTAGCAGCTTTTTTGCTATGCTGTGTTTTTTTATTTTTTTTTGTGTAAGCTTTTCTTTATTGAGCATACGCTGATTTTACATTATCTGAAATGAGAATAAAAAAGAGAAATATACGTTTAGGTTTATACCAAACATTTGGTTAACTCTGCGTTTGGATAGGTGTGTTGTACAAATCATTTCAATATTGACCAGCACACGCGCTTCGGCAAGACAGAAACAGAGATAGAGTGTGACAGAGACAGACAGAAACATGTGTGTGTGTGTGTATGTGTGTATATGCATGTGTATGTGTATGCAATGCTGATTGAATTTTTGGTTAGTAGCGCGCAAATTATTGGAGCTTTTGTTAGTTTTTTTCTTATTTGGGGATGCAATGGTGCTAAATGAATGTTAAGTGCATTTAAATAAATTAAATCATAATTTTAATGGTTGAGACTAAATTATAATTACGGTTGGCTTATCCTTTATGAAGGACTCCACTTTATTTGAACTTAACTAAATCTTTTTTTTTCGACATTTTTTAGTATTCGTTATCAAATTTATAAATTTTTTTTATTTAATAATTTGTATCATGTCGTTTTTAGAACTTTTTTGTAAAAATTTTAATGGAATTTTTTTTAATTTAATTACAAAAATAGTAAACAATGTATATTTTTAAAACTTTTGACTCTTGAAGTCTTTTAAATCTTTTTATATATATATATTTTTTATATACTTGAATTACAAAAAAAAACTAAGAATATTTGAATATTAATTTTTTCGTAAATTTTCTTTGCAATTCTTTCCAATTTATATCAAAACAACTCAATTAAGTTACAAAAGTTAAATTCCAGTATTTTCAAAATGTTCGTGAAATGAATAAATTAAAAATCTTTTGGGATTTCTTTTTGCGACGATTGTGTGACTTATTGTGCAATCACAAGGATTTATCTATATGTGTGTGTTTTTATGGCAAAATATGGTATAATTATATGTCTAGATATAGAGCGTGAGCAGCCACAGCATCATCCGCAATGCAGCCAAATATGCCAGGCAGGCAACAGGCAGCAGTCGCAGCTAAAGACTTGCCACAAAAAGTGTATTTCTTTTTTTTTTGTTTATTTTGCTGTCTTAAGACCCGTTGCGCTCTATTGTACAGCGAGTTAAACCAAACCAAGCACGGCCCATAACAGCAGCAATGCACATTGACAAACTACAAATAAAGTGCGCCAAGTTTTTCATATACAAGAGATTATTTTATATAGTTTATAGTAGTACTTGTATTTGGTAACATTTTTCTGGTTCCCAGCGGCATTTTTTAGCGTTCAGCGAAAAGAAAATCAAAAAAAAAGTAAATACCAACTAAAAATAATATATCTTATATCATGATAGCAAAAGCAACATACAAATAGAGAGACAGAGAGAGAAAGAGAGTGAGGGAGAGACTTGTCTACTTATATTTTTTCTATGGCAAAAGTTATCAAAGTATTTGATTGATGGCGCCGCAAATTGTTTATAAAGTCTAATTTTTATTTTTCTTCTTCTTTTTTATCGTGCTTTCTACGCGTCCTTAGCAAAAGCGAATAAAAATTAAACGCACTTACCGCTCGATTTCTTTTTAAAATTGTTAAATGCATTATTTTATAAGTATTACAAAATGTCTATAAATATTACTGTAAAAAAAGTGTTGAATAAACATTAACGGGGCAATTGTATTATCTATCATTCATATCAAGTATATATACACATTATAATAATGAGCAATGTTTATTAAATTAGTCGAACTGAGAAATTAAAAATTGCAAATACTTCGGAATGATTCAATCATCGATGACGGCACACACAAATTTCATTTGTTGTCGGCTTTTTTTCTGTTTATTGTCAGGTTTGATTGTGTACACTCTCTTGTATTTGGCATTTCACTTCTCATTGTTGTTTTTGTAGTCTTTTGTGCGGCTCACAATCTTATCTTATCTGCCGCCCCGCAAATGAATTAAAAATTGTCATTCAAGCCCAAACGAAAGTAAGTTCTTAATCAGCGCCTGGTTCTGTTGTAATTCTGAGTCATATTTAAAGCAAATATCAAAACAAACTATTTATATGGATATTATTTTTTGATATTAGCCAAAAGTTGGCCCTGCATCCAATAAATATAATGAAATATAAAATAAAAAATAAATGAAAACAAAATATTTCTATTTGAGCTTTTCTTTCTTGGGAGTTAGTAAAAAAAACTATGTTATTTTTTATATAATTTCATAAATGTGCTTAAATTATGGAATAAAAAGTATACCTCGAACTAGCTAATAAAATAATTAAAAAATGGAAAGGTCGCCAAAATAAGGATATAATATAAATATAAATATTATATATATAATAAAAAACATAAAATTACAAATATATAAATTCATTATTCAATTTTAAAAGTTTGGTATTCGTCCTATTTGTTGTGCAGAATATATAAAAAACATATTTTCATTGGTATTTTTCAAAAGAAATTACATTTTTAAATTAATGTTAATATAAATTATATTTATACTAATTAAATATAAATAAAATTAAAACGAATTATTTTTATATATTTTAAAATATATTTTCCCCAGAAATGAAAAAAAATCATTTTATTTTGATTGATTTTTTAACCTACATAAATATTAATTAAGGCCTTTTGAGCAAACATATAGAAAAAAGTCTGTTAACATTAAAACAAATGAATAAAAATTTATTTAATTCCTTGGAAAATCAATTCTCTAAAAACTCTAAGAAATACATATTACTTCTAGATCTTTTGCAGATGTGTCTATGCCATTTAAATTTAGAATAAGTTATGGTCTTTAATATAATTTCTTTTAATATCCGTATACAAATGCGACTTCTATTCAAATATTTATGATTGCCCACGCACAACCCTGAACAGCATGTGCAATAGCTAAAATAGTTTTTGGTTAGCTACCAAAATCCATATATATGCATATGTATATATCGCTATCTGGCCTTTCAGCGATATCAATTCACACAGACGGACACATATGCAGATACAAATGCCAATACATGTGCAGTACATTATCTATAGTAATTTTTAAAAAAAGATAAAAACCAACAAAAACAAAAGGTTAAACAAAAAAACGCATTTATAATTTTATAAATTTTGTTTGTATATATAACAATAACTTGTTGCTTGTCGGTTGAGGAATAGATATATATTTATATATATATTTTTTTATAGTATAAGTCTAATATGCTGTTGGGGCTTGCATGATGTCAGCTGCAAATTGTTTTTCCGTATTTCAAGTTGATATTCAAAATAATGTATATAAAAACAAAAAGAAGTACGAATTCTAACTTAATTTATGAGCTAATTCTTTGACGTGCGTCTGTGTGTGTGGGCTGTAGTTAATACTTATGGCGTGTATTAAAATAATTCCTGTACAGCTTCTTCTTTTTAGCTGAAAAGCTGAAAACTTTTGCTGCTCGCACTGACACAGCAAAAAAAAATGGATTTAAGAAAAAAATAGAGAAACTTTTAAACAACGCAACCAGCGCCCACACAAATAGAACCAGCAAAGCGGACGTGTTGAGCATCAAATGTGAATAGAATAAATATATAAATATCTATATATATATATAGATATGGATACGGATTCAGATACAGATACAGCTATACAGATACACAGCTAATGCTAGGCATGTCATTGACGCAGTTTCTGGATACAGAGAAATTTATGGGCAAGCAACTGCTTGCGTGTGTGTGAGTGTGTGTGTGTGTGTTACAAAAATAAACTTGCCTACAACTAAGTAGTGTGTGGCCAATGTGTGTATTATAGAAATGTGGGCCAAGAATAATCGAAGAGCGATATCGATGACTCGATGACATTAACATCCGATGACCTACAAGCAACCTTCAGGCTTCAGTGCTCGTTAATATGTTATAAATGAGCGTATGCACTTATATAAGGATATTAATTTATTGCTAATTGAGCCCGCACCGTGATTAAAAAAAGATTAATACATTAGCCGGAGGCACAAAGAAAAACATTAAGCAATGACTTAAAATAAAATTAAAGTAAAAACGCAACGAAAAGATGCAAATTGCTTTAGACGTGAAGACCACAGAAAAAAGACACGAGACAAAATCAAGAAACAGACCAAACAAGTTCAACAAGTTTTAAGTCTCGTATTAAATTTTGGTAACACACTCTTCTTTTTTTTTTTTTGGTTGTTGCTTTTCCTTTGTTTATTTTTACTTTTTTTTTGAAGGTTAAACAGAGAGAGATGGAGCGTAAAAGAGAGCGACAGAGCAGCATCTAAAGAGCAGCTGAAACTGAAATCGAAAACTGTTAATTTTTATAGCTATTAACACAAACTCACTAAATATTTACATTCACATATTCATATTCGTATTCATCTCTGTATTCGCTTTGTATTATTCGTATTTATGTAAGCTGTACCAACAAAAATAAAAAAACAAAAAAAAAACAGCAGCTGCGTCTGTTGAAATGAGTCGAAAATTGTTCCACATGCGGGGACAATTACCCGGCAATAATTGCAAGTGGGTTCCATATTTATTTGAATAGCAAAAAAATTAAAACAAAAATTTGGCATCACCTTGAAATCTGCCTAAAGATTAAGTTGGAATTGAATTCAGGCTAATGAAAAATACGTTAAACTTAAAATATCCAGTGTTCCTCCGCAACTATATACATATCTATATATTCCGATAAAACAATAATTCGACGATTATCAATCTATTTATTATTTTCATATCGTTCAGCGATTCGCTCAAAATATTGCAAATAATAACTCCGCTTGAATCGTAACAGTCTTCTATATATTTATATAACATGTGTTGTTATCGATAAGTGAAACAACCTGATTTGAGAATAAAATCGAAGAAATCGCCACAAATCGAAAAACGAAACCCTATAATAAAGGAGAAAATGGTATTTGTGGCTGCTTATGTTTGTTTATTTAGAATGCCTCTCATAAATCCTTCATCATTAGTTTACAAATAAGTATATCGATAAATAATCTATAAGCCAGAGCTATGGTGTAAGCCCAAAACGACTGGTTAATATGATAATAAACTGATCGATAAACTTAAAAGT